TGAAGAGTGGAGCTCGGTGGGTGGGTTTCAGTTGTTCCCCCTTCCTGGGGTAGGGGAACTGGGTCCTGCAGCCAAACGCAGGACAAGGAGGGGCAAGAAGAAGTCTGATGGAGCCAACGGTGCAAGCAGCTCCTGCGGGCAAGGACTGGGGCCTGTCCTGCTCTGCCACCGTCTCCAGCAGAGGGGCCGTGGCCCTGCTGGAGAAGGACTGTCACCCCCCCAGCTCGTGCCACAGATGGACGGACTCATGCAGGGTCTCGGCAGGCACATGGCCTCCATCCCAGCACCAGTGGGCAGGAACGGAGCTGCAGCGCGGGCGACTGATGCCCCTTGCTTATGACTTCTGGGGGTGGCCAGAGGGCTGGCGGCCAGCACGCTCCGAGATGTTGCGCTTCACCTTGGTGGCTGTGCTGGACGGCTCTGCGTTGAGTGATGGGCTGGAGCGGGATTTTTTCAAGCCATCGTCCTCTCCTCCCACTGCATCAAAGAGGGTGGACTCTAACGCTGCCAGGTCCTCGGAGCCGGCCTTCAGCTTGGCGCGCAGCAGCATGGCATACGTGCTGTAGCGGGATTTCTGGGGGGGCATAGTGCAGCAGAGAGAGGGGTCAGTGAGCTGGGCACTGCTCCTCAGCCAGCATCCCAGGGCACGGGGATGCTCATGGTTCCTCCACCCCAGCCAGTATCCCAGGGTGAGGGATGCTCATGGTCCTGGAGCACAGGAGTGGTCCAGTGCAATTCAGCTAACAGGGACAGGGGCATCCCATCACTCAGGATGACCAAGCTGGCAGGTTATAGAAGGGCTGGGGGCAGGAGGGGGAGGTCTCCCAGCTCACCTCAAACTCCAGGTACTCTTCCTTCTGCTTCAGCTCCTCATACTCCTTGCCCTTCACCTTCTTCTCGGGCAGTGAGGAACGATGCTCCAGCAGCTCTGCTGACATTGTCTTGAACTTGGCCTCATGGCTCTTCACCTGCTCCTCCTGGGGAAAGGTGGCACTATGTCAGTGCCCCACTCTGCCATCTGCTCTACCCCACCATTACTGTGAGCCAGACAGGGCCAGAACAGGTTTTTCCCCTCCTAGGTCCAGCCACGATCTGAGCTGCTCCTGAGTTTGGTTTGCTTTGGTTTTTGTGTTTGCTTGTTTTTTTCCTAAATTGCAAGCAAAAGCTCTTGGGGGCAATCTGCTCCCACCTCACAGGGGACTGGCTGCAGTCTTAAAGCAGAAGAATTTAATCCCCTCTAAAACTAGGCTGGTGGGGTTTTTTTAATCCTTTCTGCTCTATGAATAACTGCGCTGGCACGCGCGAGTGCCAGCTAATCCCCCTGGCCGGTCGCCTTTCAAGGTCCTGGCCCTGCCAGGACCCTGCAAGCTGTGGTGTGGGACCATATTCTCCTCCATGGTCTAACTCCCATCACCCATCATCTCCACCGCCAGGAATAAGACCTCCGTGCACACCCCCAACCTCAGTACCCCATTGCTCTGTGTCTCCCCAGCCACGCTCCCTCGGCCCTATACCCTGCTGAGAGGCAGCTGAGCACATGGCAGCACATGGGTCCCTCCACAGGGGACAGTGCCACCAGCAGACCCAGGCGGTCTGTCCCATGCTCCCAGCTGCCCCCACACCATGGCCCACCTGGGACAGCCTGGTGCAGGAGCTGGGCAGCAGCGGGCGGCTGAACTTCTTCTGGGAGCCGATGGCTGCAGGGAAGGGGGGTGCAGAGAACATGGCTGCCACCACATTGATGCGTGTGATCCATGAGTGCATCTGTTCGGGGTTCCTGGGGAGAAAGGCCAAACCACAGATGAACTCTAAGTGGCATTATCCGTGTCACAGGCAGAGGGACCTGCCCTGCAGATGAGATCTGGGTCCCCTAGGCCTGGCCCTGGCCAGCCACAGCACCTGGGGCTCTGCCCTCAGCAACCTGGGCCATCACAAGCCCATTGGGGTGGGAAGAAGAGGAGCTGGGCAAAGCACAGCACTGACACTGGGTCCATTTCCTTACAGAAAGGGCCAGGACAGGAGAGAGCAATGTGGCCCTAAGCCCCATCCCACCCTCCACCCCAGCTGGATGAGCCTCTGCACCCCAGCTTGGGGCCCAGCCAGTGATGCTGGAGAACTCACTGTGCTTGGAAGAGGAAGACCCTCCAGTCAGCTGTCCTGAGGTAGAAGACATTGGGTCGCTTGCTGTAGTCAGATGCCCGCGTGGCAAGCGAATGGTGGATGCTAATAGCATTCTTCAGCTCCTCTTCTGCCAGCGCCTTCCCTGGCTTATACTCCTCCTGCAAATCACAGCGTGTTTCAGAGCCAGCTTAGGGATGCACTCCACCGTGAGTCAGTTCTACGAGGCTGTGGGGACTGCAGGCAAGTGCTTGCAGTGAAGGGGCTTGGACATCACACTCCATCAGGCTGCTGCAGGTTCTGCCTCCAGCTCGTGCTACACCCATGGGGAGGCTGCAGAAACTGGGTGCACGGGCCTGGCAACAGCATGGTGGCTGTTCCCTGCTGCCCCACAGCTGGGCAGCGGGTGTGCCTGCAGGAGACTGGATTTGCAGCCCAAACCTACCCTGCCCCATGCAAAGGCCCTGGTGCCTCCTGTCTCCCCAGCCAAGCCCCAGCACACAGGACTCTCAGTTGGCAGCCACTTTCACCACCCAGTCTGAGCCCAAGTACACTAGAAGCAGAGATGCTAGCAGGTCCCAAATCAATGGATCAAGCAGGCATGGTGCCAAGTCTGGTTAGGATGGGCTTTGTGATGCCGTGCACCAGAGCCCCTCTCTCACTGACGTGGGGACTGCCATGACCTCCCTCCCTGGGTCAGGACAATCCCCCTCCCTGCTGCGGACGCGAGTGGCCCCACTGCTGCCTACCTTCTGCAAGTAGAGGATCATCCCCTTCAGGATGGCGTGGAAGGGCTTCCAGCCGCGCTTCCCTCGAGGCGCTGCCAGGGAGGAGAGAGCAGCCCAGACATCAGCCCCAGAGCCGAGCAGGGGAAAGGCATCTCCCCCCGTCATCCTCCTCCAGCCAGCCCCGCCACGGCACACATGTCACCCCACCCCAGGGACGGGCGGCGCTCCAGGACCGTCCCTGCACACCTGAGCCTGAGCCAGCCGCGTGGCTGGCAGATGGAGCCTCCCCGGGGCTAGCACCGCTGTGCTCCCTGCCTCGCCGCCTGCCTCACTGCTCACACAGCTTCACCGCTGCCTCGCCGCTCGGGGATGAGGCGGTGCTGCCCGCCAGGTAATGCTGGCTTTGGAGGGCGGCTGCATCTAATCAGATCAAGGCGGCATTAGATGGCCAGAGCTTAGAGGGGATTTTATGGTGAAAACAGTGAATGTGCCTGGCAGCACCAGACAGACAGGGCACAGGGGGCTGGCGCTGGAGGTTGGCATGATGCTACAGTCAGACATCACATAGTGACTCCTGCTCTGCTTCCCCTTGGGTTTCCAGAGCTCACTGGTGCCCTCTTGCCTCAAGTCCCTCCCGTGGGCTCCCCAGGCACCTACTTTTCTTGCAGTCAGGATCAGCGTGGATCTTGCGCACTAACAGTCCATGCTTGTAGGTGGCGATGCTGGAGTCTTGTGAAAAGTCCAGAAAGGGGTTACTGCAGCTGCTGATGCGCTTGATGGACTTCGGGTTGGGGTCTGCCAGCTCTGAGAGGGACTTTCTCAGCTCCTCCTCATCTCTGCCAAGGACAGATTTGGGTGGGGAAAGGGTTTGTTACCTTGCTGAGGACAACAAATACCAAGCCTCCCCCCCTTGCTGGTGCCACTTTTAGGCCTGGCTTCTGAAAGGGAGGCCAGGAGCAGCACACCAGGCTGAGCAGTCTCCCATCACCACTGGAGAGCATCCCAAGCCCAGCCATTCCTCTGTGCCCCTGCCCCTCTAGGCAGCTGTGGTGCTGCCTGGCCCCTTGAAAAACAAAGCGTAGGGGTGTCTGCTGCTGGCTCAGGGTGGGGCCCCCTGCCTGCCCCAGGGAGTGAGGAGCTTTTTTGGACAGGGCTGGGTCTGATAAGCCAGGGAGCCTGGAGGATCAGCACGGAGCTTGGCACTTCCATAGCCCCCCAACCAGTGGTGTAAGGGCTCGGAGGTCTCCAGCTGGCAGGAGAGAGGGTCTAGAACGGAAACCCCCCAAAGAGAGACCCAGGCTGTGGTCCCCACAGCTTCAGGGCAGCAGTTGGACCATGGGGCTCAAATCCACCAGCAAAGGGGTGCAGACAGCCTGTAGCAGGGAGGCCTCAGGCAGCACCAGCCCAGGGCAGGAGCACATGTGGGCAGGTCATAGGCAGCCCCGGGAGTAGAAGCAGGCAGGCCCCCA